GTAAAACATATTTCACGACAAATATTACTTGTTATTGAAAATATATTACTGCGTGCAAGTGGTGTTGCAAAACAAAATAGGTAGCAAAAGTGACACATTTAAAAGAATATTTGCAACAAATATTTTTCTCGTAAAAACTTTATTGGAATAATCTTCGCAACGAATTATCATGTTGCCCTTTTATTTTTTCGCGACATATACGCATTGCGACAACATTATAATTATAACTATCGTGTTGCTGTTTCATATTTTTGGCGGCAAATAAGTAATGTTGCGATTTTGTTAATGCGATGAATGATCGAAAGTTGTCTCAAAATATATTCGGTGACTCAACATTCGCAACAAATATAATTCTCGTAAAAATTTTATTGGAATATTCGTTGCGACAAACTAACTTGTCGCCCTTTAAATTTTTTGCGACATATATACATTGCGACGACAATATGGCTACAAATATTGTGTCGCCATTTCGTATTTTCTGCGTCACACAAATAGTGTAGTGATTTTGTTAATGCGATGAACTATCGAAAGGTGTCGCAGAACACATTGCGTGACTCATATAGAGCGACAAAACCTGCAACAAACGTATTATCGTCGCTAAATTACTTTTGCGACAAAATCTCATTTTTTGCGACATCTTTTTGTCGCGAAATCGATTATTTGTTGTAGTGGGTGTTACTGATGTGGCGAATTTCCTTTTTCCTTGAAGACTTGTACACCAATCCCAGTTTAATTGATTGAATCCTAAATCAAATATCAAAATCATAACTCACATATTGAAATAAAATGGTTCTAAAACAAAATCCTATACTCATCAAGAAATGCGAAATCGAATTTCAATTCAGAGCTCCAACCGTGGCTTATTCCTGCCAACAACATCACAACAACCTTACCAGGACATCGTCATTGAATTCTAATTCGGATTTACCATTTCAGCAAAAGACTTGGTTCATACTGCTATTGCTAGTCATGGCGCTATGTTTTTTCACACTTGCAATTCTTCTGTTGCTGACCCTCGACTCCGATTTTAATTCGACTCCCGTTTCTGCTACTTCTGAGAGTGTTCAGGTAATTGATCACTCTTTATTTGATTCATCATACAGGTTGATTGGTTATTTAATTGGTATGTGGATACTTGAGGTCTGAGAAATGATTTGAAAATTCAGTTTAATTATGGGTATTTTTTATTAGAAAGGAAATAGTTGAATGTTTCAAGAGGTTACGGAAAATAATTAGTAAATGTATTTATTAGTTTATATGTACTTGTGAAGTTTGATTGAAGAGGAGTACTTCTGAAGTTTGATTGAAGAGGAAGAACATGGGAAATAATATGTTGTACGATTAATTTCCATATGAAATATTTTAGTGGTGTCAACAAAAGTGGATATCTAACATGAGACTCTTTTTAAACATAAAATTCTGTTTATTTTAAAAATTTAACTTTAAAATTATACTCTAAAAAACTCTTTAAATTAACATTTAATTTAGAGAGTGAGTTTAAATCCATTTCCTTTTCCAATTTTCAACGAAGGAAAATAATATAATAATTTGAAGAGAATCTAGTTAAAAAAAAAAAAGAGGGAAAAATAAATATATTTTTAGAAGCCTGTTTAGTGATGGCAATTTGCCCTGCCCTGCCGCGAAGCGTGGGGCGGGGTGAGGCGTAAATGGTCGCCCCGTCGCGGGGTGGGCACCCAGTCCCGAACCCACCCCGTAAAGAAAAAGTAAAAAAAAAAAAAATTAAAAATAATTTTATTTCTAAACAATTCATCCGTTAAAAACCTATTTTAAATTTGTATTTTATTCTTTAATAATAACATAATTCGAAACTTTCAAAATATAAAAAATAATAATAAAAAAAAATTAAACGGGGCAAAAAGTTGCCCCGTCCCCACCTAGCCCTGGGACGGGGTGGGGTTTTAGCCAAATGGGGCAGCACCCGCCCCGAATCCACCCCGTTGCCATCACTAAGCCTGTTAGAGTACTTAAGCAGTTTCACTCTCTAAATTTATATATTTTCTATAAATTGTAAAATACGCTCTTCAAAAGTAGAGTTTCTTGGAGATGCTCTTACAATTTTAAACATTCCCCCTTTCAATGAAAATAAATAAATAAATAAATCAATCAATTATAACTGTTGCTAGTCAATAATAAAAAAAACCAAAACTAGGGTTTATGACGCCGGGTAGGATAGTGATTATCCTATTGGCTTGTTGTAGCAGATGATTCGCAAGAAAAGAACGATAGAAAATGCCCAAAAAACTAGAGAAAATACTCTGAATTCAACTCAATATTATTAATAACGCAGAATCATAAAAACTAACCCACAAGCCGAGTTAAATAGCTGTGAAATACGAAATTATGGGAAAATTACCAAAAATGGCAAAATCCAAAAATTATACCAAAATAAAATATTAAGTAAAATAAGTAAGTTGCCAAAAATTTGGTTCAATTCGAGTTTTCTAACATATGGAAAAAAGGAAACGAAATATTACCATAAATAGTAAAAAATAACTTAAAACTGAATTTTGGAAAGGAAAACAGTGGATTTTGGGCTCAAAATTGATGTCCACTGAGCACACCTGGGTGGCCATGACGTGCGCGATGAAGAGAGCTTTCCGAATTGGGGTCATAATAGCGATTCCGATAACCGTAGCCAAAGTTATGGCCAAATTACTAAAGACGCGTCAAATTCCCCCCATTGTGGAAATAATGGTGATTCACTTTCCATTTTTGCGGCGATCCACCATCTCATGGTATCTCAGCGCCATCATCGTGCTATCTGATAAATCAGCATCACTTGACTCGGATCCTCCTGCATCAGTCGCCCCGGGTTGGAAAGAACTCGCCCTCGAGTTCACAGTAACTTCATCGGACTCCATAAAACAAGGGCTTAGGTGTTTTACATTGAAGAAGTCAGAGGTCTTCAAATGGCTCGGGAGGCGCAATCTGTAAGCATTATCATTGATCTTCTGTAGCACTTCATAAGGTCCAATCTTCCGCTCCTTTAGCTTATTGTATTCCCCAGCTGGAAAACGATCACGAGTTAATACTGCCCAAACAAAATCACCAACATCAAACAACACCTGGCGTCGATGACTATCTGCCTGAACTTTGTACTTAGTATTACTTTTCTGTATGGACAGCTTCACCTGCTCATGGATACCTCGAAGATGTTCAGCCATCTCATCAGCTTTGTTATTGAAGCTACTCACACGTGGAATTGGAGCCAAATCAAGTACTCCGGATGGGTTTCAACCATAGACAATTTCAAAAGGACTCAGTCCGGTGGTTCTATTCCTCGACCGGTTATAAGCAAACTCTGCTTGAGGTAATGCCAAATCCCACTGCTTCGGTTTAGTCTCGGCTAAGCTTCTCAAAAGATTTCCCAAACTCCGATTCACTACTTCAGTCTGACCATCTGTTTGGGGATGGTATGCGCTGCTAAAATTCAATTTTGTTCCAAGTTTCTCCCACAAACTCATCTAGAAATGACTCATAAACTTAGTGTCACGATCAGAAGTAATTGACTATGGAACACCATGTAAACGTACAATCTCTCTGAAATAAAGATGAGCAATCTAAGTAGCATCCATTGTCTTCCGGCAAGCCACAAAATGAGCCATCTTTGAAAATTTGTCAACCACAATAAGAATGGAATCCATCGCCCGCTGTTTACGAGGTAAGCCCAAGACAAAATCCATACTGACATCAAACCAAGGAGCTTCAGGTACGAGTAATGGTGTGTACAATCCAGCATTAGTAAGAGCCCCTTTAGGCCGCTGACATACATAACACCGCTTCACATAATGCGCCACATCACTACTCAACTTGGGCCAGTAATAATCAGAAGAGACCAATGCCAATGTCTTGTCTCGCCCAAAATGTCCTTCGTTGTGAAGTTCACTAATAATCTGCTGCCTTAGTGAACAATCCGGAATGCATAACTGCAATCCATGAAATAGGTAACCATTATATAAAACAAAATCATGTCGGTGATTATCAGTTACCTCCCGAATTATCTTCCCAAATGAAGGATCTGCAGCATACATATCAGGAAATGCCTCAAATCCGACAATCTTGGTGCTCATGGTGGTGAGGAGTAATGTGCGACGGCTCAATGCACCTGCTACTCGATTCAAACTCCCTGCTTGATGCTTGAGTGTGAAAGTAAACTCCTGCAAGTACGCCACCCACTTTGCATGTCGCTTACTCAGCTTGTGCTGACCATTGATGTACCTCAAAGTCTCATGATCAGTAACAAGGATGAACTCCCTCTGTACTAGGTAATGGCGCCAATGCTTCAGAGTCTGAACTATGGCATAGAACTCCAGGTCATAAGTGGAATAATTTTTCTTCAATCCCGATAGCTTCTCACTAAAAAAAGCTACTGGACGTCCCTCCTGACTCAGAACACTACCAATACCAACTCCAGACGCATCACAGTTTACCTCGAACACCTTTTTAAAATTCGAAAGTGCCAAAACTGGGGCCTCCGTCATCTTCTGCTTAACCAACTGAAAGCTAGCCTCTGCCTCCTCAGTCTAGTGAAAATCACGCCCTTTAAGGCACTCTGTGATAGGAGCAATCAAGGTACTAAAGTTTCTGATGAATCGACGATACAAGGATGCCAATCCATGGAAACTCCTAACATCGTGCAAAGTTTTTGGTTTCGGCCAATTCAAAACTGCCTCAATTTTGGATTGATCTACATGAACACCATCAGTAGACACAACAAAACCCAAAAAAGTTACAGAAGTTGTGAAGAAAGAACACTTATTCTGATTGATGAATAAGCGCTCCGTCCTCATTACATCAAAGACAGCAGGAAGATGATTAAAATGTGACTCCCATGTCAGACTATAAATAAGTATGTCATCAAAATAAACTACCACAAACTTTCCCATGAAAGGCTGTAAAACCTGATGCATAAACCTCATAAAAGTGCTGGGTGCGTTGGATAGTCCAAAGGGCATGACCATCCACTTGTACAACCCATGCTATGTCTTGAACGCGGTCTTCCACTCATCTCCAGGTCTGATTCTGATCTGGTGGTATCCACTTTTAAGGTCAATTATTGAGAAGACCATAGAACCGGACAATTGATCCAACATGTCGTCCAGACGGGGAATTGGAAACCTGTACTTCACTGTAATCATGTTAATGGCCCTGCTGTCAGCACACATACGCCATGACCCATCTTTCTTCGGCACTAGGAGAGCAGGAGATGCACAAGGACTCATACTCTCACGAATATAGCCCCTTTCCAATAATTCTACCACCTGTCGCTGCAACTCTTCAGCTTCCTTGGGGCTGAGGCGATATGCTGGTCGGTTTGGTAGACTCGACCTCGGAATGAGGTCGATCTGATGTTGAATGTCCCTCATAGGTGGTAGTCCTGGAGGAAGATCCTCCGGCATCAAGTCAGAAAACTCCATTAGTAGTTGCTGTACTTCTGCTGGAAATTCTGAATCCATATTCGCTGTACTATTTTCACGAGGCATTAAAGCATAAACTATTTTTTCACGCCCAACCTCAACCAAAAACCTGGACATCAAAAGTAGATTGGGGTTTTTAACTACCGGGGCAGGGGTGTTTCCTTCCCTACGAGGCACCAAAACAATTCTCTTTCCTTTGATGCTAAGAGAATAAGTATTCTTCCGCCCATCATGGATAACACTGCGATCATACTGCCAAGGTCGTTCCAACAAAACATGACACGCGTCCATTGATACCACATCACACCAAGCATTATCAAAATATTTTTTTCCAATCGAGAAAGACACTAAGCATCGTTTTTCTCCCGTTACCTCACTACCTTTATTCAGCCAAGACAATTTGTATGGTTTGGGATGATGATCCATCTTCAGTTGCAGTTTCTCGATAGCCTCCTCAGACACTACATTCTCACAACTGCCACTATCAATTATCAGCTTACAAACTTTATCAGCAACTGTGCAGGTTGTGTGGAAAACGTTGGTCCTCAACCAATCATCCCCTGAGTCGCCCTTGGGAGTCAGCAGGCTCTTTCGAACGACCAGGGTCTCCTGACCATCTCCATATAGCACGTCCTCATCTTCACCCTCATCATACACGGGTTCCCCAACTTCCTCAAACTCCTCTATCATATCCTCCTCAGTCAGAAGATTTTTATTCTTCTGACCAGCAGGCTTCTTACAATCAGTTGCCCTATGCCCATGTACACCACACCTAAAGCACTTAATACTTGAGCTGGAACTATCCCGCTGTGGCTGATAAGCAGGACGAGATTCTTGAGGGCGAACTGGCTGACTTCATTCACCTCTGATATGCCTCCTACTTTGCTGTTTCTCTACTGCAAGTGCTCGCTGATATGCCTCAGAAACTGTCCACAATGAATGAGGCTGAGAACATCCTGCAGGGGATGCCTTAATCCCCCCAAATACCGTACTACCATCTGCTCCTCCGTCTCAGATAAATCATTTCGAGCCACCAACCGATAGAATTCTTCAGTATAATCATTCATTGATCTTGTGCCTTGCCTTAGTGAATGAAGCCTCTAGAACAAGGTTTGAGTATAGCCGAAAGGGAGGAAGTGCCCTTTCATCTTCTTCTTCATCTTCTCCCAGTTAGTAATTTTGGATTTTCCCTATCGCTCCCGTGAACGCTTCAACTGTTCCTACCATGCAGATGCCCTACCTTTGAGTTTGATGGCGACCAGTTTCACTTTGACACGATCCGGAATCTCCTTATATTCAAAAATCTGCTCCACTTCATTCAACCAATCAATAAATCCTTCAGCCTGCAACGTACCAGAAAACTCGGGCAGATCCACTCTGAAACCGAGATCCACATGACGATCCTCCCGTCCACGATGCTCCCAAACTCGAGCACGATGGTGATACGAGTTTTTGAAACTGGTATCGGAATCGTGACCTTCTACATCATGATTACCGAACTCCTGCTCCGCCAAACGTTGGGTTAACTCCACAAGTTGTCTTTGCAAATCTTCAATCGTCACATCCTGAATATTACGATCACGGTGTTGGACTTCCTCAATCGGAACCTGTCCTCGAAGACCACGACCACGTCCACCAACCATTATAACTGATGGAATTTATCTCCCAAGAAGATGCTGATGCTCTGATACCTACTGACGTCGAGTAGGATAGTGATTATCCTATTGGCTTGTTGTAGCTGATGATTCGCAAGAAAAGAACAACAGAAAATGCCCAAAAAACCAGAGAAAATACTCTGAATTCAACTCAATATTATTAATAACGCAGAATCATGAAAACTAACCTACAAGCTGGGTTAAATAGCTGCGAAATACGAAATTATGGAAAATTACCAAAAATGGCAAAATCCAAAAATTATACCAAAATAAAATATTAATTAAAAGAAGTAAGTTGCCAAAATTTTGGCTCAATCGAGTTTTCTAACATATGGAAAAAAGGAAACAAAATATTACCATAAATAGTGAAAAATAACTTAAAATTGAATTTTGGAAAGGAAAACAGTGGATTTAGCTGGTGGCCACGACGTGCGCGCCGAAGAGAGCTTTCTGAATTGGGGTCATAATAGCGATTCTGATAACCGTAGCCAAAGTTATGGCCAAATTACTAAAGACACGTCAAATTCCCCCAATTATGGAAATAATGGTGATTCACTTTCCATCTTTGCGCCGATCCGCCATCTCATGGTATCTCAACGCCATTATCGTGCTATCTGATAAATCAGCATCACTTGACTCGGATCCTCCTGCATCAGTTTATGAAGAGACTTTGGATCGTTTGTAGTCTCTTTAGTAAAACACTGGCAAGTTTTTAATGGTAAATTTGTCTGATCAAGGTAGAGCACCCTAAATCACAGTGTCTCCCGCTTCCTCATAAAGATATAAATGTTTTTCTGTTTATCCTCATCTATTTTTCTTCCTCTCTTTCTCTTTATTCTGTGATTGACTTTGGCCACCATCATAGAAGATGAGGAATTTAATCACAAAGTCGAAGCTCGTAAGAGAACAGATTGATATTGAAGAAACAGGTGATGCTGATATTTGGATTGATTACTTCAGTGGCAGTGTGTAAACTCACACGCCGATTTCCCTGCTTTCCAGATTCCTTGATTTTAATTTAGTATTTGTTTTTATCTCTTGTTACTTAAATTGAGATGAGTAGTTTTTTAACAAAGTTCCTTGAATACTTCTTGAATAAAAATCCAACCATAAATTGATAAAATCAAATGCATGTGCAGGTGAGTTGATTTGGAGGTGATGGTGAATCTGACATTGGGAATTACTGGAGGTATCACCTTTTGTCTTGATTCTTCTAAATTTTATCAGATGTTTATAGTCAGAAACAGATCTTGTATTTACCTCTTATATACTTTATGGTATGGCAGACTTGATATCGAAGGAAGTTGGAAAACATGGTGGCAAGATCAGAGGGTGAGGCTTCGCCGTGTGGACACTGGTGGGTAGTTTAAGTGCATTTTGTGCACTTATTTATGCCATATTACTAAACTTTTATGTCGTCAAATTATTAATTTCTACTTAATTTGAGTTAATTTTCTTTTGTTTTTAGTGATGGACTTGTTTGAAGCAATTGGAAAATAAAGAATGATAAATTGGTCATTGGATGGAAGTTTGTAGATAATATTCCACACCTTAAAATCATAGTCTAATTGATTTTATAGGCTCATTTGAAATGGTTAATATATTCAAGATAATTACGTATTTACAAAATACTACCTCAATTCATCCTATTTCACCAAATCCGGGGGTACGTGAGCTGGGTTCAAAACGTCGTGAGATAATTCGGTCCATATCTGGTGTGGGCGTTAGAGCATTGAGAGGGCCTTTCCCCTCACGTGCGAAATTATAGAAGGTCTCCTTTAAGATCAAACAATTCCATCGAATTGAGTATGATGTAATGGTCGTTGTAATCTCATATATCCGACCATTCTCCACCAAAATTTTGAAAGAATTAGGACTTGAAGAAGATTGTACATTAAATGGGCCTAGCATGACTTTTACTTGGGCTGAAATTCACTTGCAATTGGAAAACCTAGGGCAATTAAAAACAGAGAAAATGAGCATACATGCTGCTGGAAATAAAAAAGTAGTAGCGTGTTGATATATATATCCACACACACACAAAAGAAGAGACACAAGGGGACAGCATACACGCACAGGAAAGAAAGCAAAGTCAGCGGCTGGCTGTTGGAGAAAATAACATAGGAATATATGCACGCAGAGCCAACTGAAAAAGGGATGAAAATTGAATACATTAATCACGTTCCGTTGATTTTTGGTAATGTCTTTTATATTTTCTTCGTTTAATTTCGACATTATGTTTGACAAAATTATTTTGTTCTAAAATTTGCAATGAACACTGTATTATAAACTTTTAACTTTTGAATTTTATTTATTTTGACGTTAAAACACGATTTCAATTTGAATAATTGACATTGATTTAATTTTCGCTACAATTACTTGATCACCAGTTGTATGAATATTGTGGCTTGTTTTACACTCGAGAGATGGAAAATAAGTTAGACATAGTGTCAATTGTCAAAGAGTCCGCTAGAGAATAGAAATATACCGCTACGCTTTACGTGATCTTTAAGTATTCACAAATTCATTAATGCATTTTTATATGTTCACATCCGTCATAAAAATATAGTCGGGCCTTATATAAAAATAGGTTTAACTCTACTCGAAAGAGATTGTTAAACAAATTAGAAATATTGGTCTTTATAATTGAATAGTGTTATCAAATTTATAAGTTTAGGGTTAAAGAGGATTGATATAAAAGAATTCGGGATCCTAGTACACGTTTCATCATCATATTTTTTTATAACATTTACATATAATTTAGGTTTTGCATTTTTTTTAGTTAGATTAGATTTTGCATTCAAATGTAGATTATTTAACGTATAAAAAAAATCACAAAATAATTCAAACTTGAACTAGTGCAATCCCTGTGGGAACGAAACTTGGACTCAAAATCCACTATAGTACTTGTCGACAAACCGTACACTTGTGAAGTTTTAGATTGAAATATATTTTCGTGAATAGGCACTTACATAGTGATGATAAGAAATACACCCGTAGAGCTAGAAGTAACCAAGAGGTAAGAACAGGAAACACGAGGTAATGGGGTTTGTTATTGGGATTATGAATGAAGTCAATATTTTATATACGATATTTTTACTTCATTTTCCATTGTGGTTATCCCAAAAGGGTTATGGTATAAAGATTCAACTCTCCACTTTAACATCTTTAAAGACTACTTCCTTGTCTTACAGCTTTGAGGTGTTAGGGCAAAACTAGCTGATAATGGCTGGTTAGCAGTAGAGGACGTGCATCTGCTAGTCTCTGAAAGCAAGTAAAATTCTCTCTGTGAAACCAGTGTTATTGACTAATGCACAGTGAAGCTTCGTTTCTTTAGTGATCTTCAGTTGTTTTCTACTATTAATTTATTATAGTTATTGAAGAATCTCGATAATATCTATCAAATCATGCTGGAGAGATCTTTTCCAAAGATAAAATCTCTAGATTGTAAATATATAGTATATAGGAGATTTGAGTAGATTTGTATTCAAATTTTGAATTATTCTTATCTGTAAGCAATGTACAAAACCTTATTATGAATACAAGACTTTCACCAATGGGTGAAATACGGTGTCTTACAAACCCTTTTCATGGTGTCACAGAGCCATTTTTCGGATTAAATTCCTTTGATCCTATGGCCGCTAACAATCCCAATACTCTACCCTTCAACACCATGATCCACTTTCTCACCATCAAATTATCTTATTTAAACTATCTCGTTTAGATTTGTTGCCTTTGCCTCTGCAATCCTAAGTTGGCTAAGTGGAGATAAATTATGTTGTAGTTTGATCTGAATTCTAGTGGGCATTGGAGTTTTGGTTGAAGTAGTTTTAAAGAGATCAAACTTATGGACCAAGAAGAAAGGTCACAGTATTTTTGCTGGCCCGCTGCTCGAGCAATGCCTGCATATTTTTCTCAAGGTTTGTTCCTATCCTATTGCTCTCCTTTCACTCGAGCGGCAGAGCTTTTGGTCGCTTACTACTAGCCTATCATTCAAGCGACAGTTTTATCCAGCCTAGGCCTGTTTCAGGTTTTGACACATTTTTTAGACTCTCATTCATCTACAACTTGATCTCTAGGGTTATATATATATAGGTCATGGCTTGTACTGTTTCCATAACATTCAATAAGATCTTGAGAGCTATGGAGCTTAGATTTTAATGGAGAATATCGAGATCTTGATATTGTAAATATAATTACTATTGATTATATTGAATTTCTCCTTCTTTGCCTATGGTTCTTTTCCCATTTTGGGTTCATATAAATCCTAGTGTTCTTATTTTGTTCTTATTCATTTTATTATTGTCATTATCTTGTAATCAATTCATAATAAGTGGTATTAAAGTAAAGTTGATTATTTCGCATGGAAACGATGAAATATAATATCCCATTATTGAATCAAACCATGAAATTTACTTTATGGCAAGTGAAGATACGAGCAGTTCTCGCACCAATGGATTTGAATAAAGTTTTGCTTATCTTCGATAAGATGCCTTCAACTTGGACGTTGAATGAGAGGCAGCGTAGGGATTGGAAAGCCCAATCTCAAGTTCACTTACATCTATCAAATCAAATTCTTCAAGATACTCTAAAGGAGAAAAGTATCACTATGTTATGGTTGAAATTGGAGTAACTCTGTATGAAAAAAGAGCTTAACAAACAAGTTACACATAAAAAATGCATATATTCTCATCGGGTGTCCGAAGGTATGCCATTGAACAATCACTTAACTATATCCAAAGAAATCGTGGCCGCTTTGGAGACATTGCAGGTTAAGTATGACAAGGAGGACTTGTCATTGATGTTATTGTGCTCACTGCTGCATCATATGTGACTTTTAGGAATACTATTTTTTGTAATCGGGATACTTTCAATAAGGATGAGATCTATGATGCTTTACTGTCGAAGAAGAAGATGAGGTATCGTGTAAGTGGATCGGGGAGTCAGGCTGAAGGCTAGGATGTTTGTGGAAAAATCAAGATAGGAAA